CCAGGCAGTTCGCCACCAGGCAGTTCGCCCCTAGGCAGTTCGCCACCAGGGAGCATCACCAGGCAGTTCGCCACCAGGCAGTTCTCCCCCAGGAAGTTCGCCACCAAGTAGCTCATCACCAAGGCACGTCACCACYAGGTCAAACACGAGGTACTTRGCCAAAAAAATTTATACATCACAAAAAATGGTACGTGACCAAAAACGATTACATCAAGTATGATAATGGGTATGCCTGGTAATATAATGATAAGCAATCTCTAGGAAGATGTATTCAAAATAGGGCCACATTCTTCTTTTCAAACAAAATTGGTGCTAAGAATTGCAAAGAGTGCAACTTAAAGTAAAGTTGGATACGATTCATGATTAATTTGAGATGTTCATATTTCTGGTTGCATTTCTCATGCTGAATTCTGCTATATGTTCATCCCCTATTTTTCTATTATAGACCTTCCATGAACAATCATCTCCTCCTTATAGTTGAAACCAGGGTTCAGGAGATAAATGAATAATGTGTTTGGTCAACCTCAAAGCCCACAAATTCAGATCAGAAGCCGACTACAATTTCCTTGTTTCAATATGAAACCATGATTCATCCAGAGCCACTTGGGGCAGAAGATAGGAAGGAATCTAATAATGGATGAAAGACTGACAATGAATCACAGTGGGATTAATTAGTCCCTTGAGATTCATAGATATGCTCCGTGCCCCAAGAACTATCTCCATTGAAAGGTGGGTGTCACTGCTATACAGACTAAAAATCACTCTGTAGCACACTGAACCAGAAGACATTTATCTGATCACCTTCATGAATCAGTAGATGAATGGAATGATCATATACGACGTGTACATTCTGCACTGTATATAGTACCAGATTGACAAATTTTTTGCCAGTTGGATGGAACTATGAAAGTACAGCAGTCCAACTGGATGTATTCACATCAGCTGCAATGCTACAAAGTGAGGAAATCATCAAAGCCTTCAGCAGAAAAGTACGAAATGATTTAATGAGATAATAAAGCCAATTTGAAAGACATGACTGGGGGAATTGGGATGGCTGATAAGGACTGTCGGCTTCATACGTACCAGCCAATATAAGAAGTAAATCTGAAAATGCTCTTTCGGATTCACAGTCCAGATTCCAGAAGGCTGGTGGGTGGCCCTGGCCGCTAGCTGCTGAGGTGAACGCCTAGTCTCAGACATGTCTGTGAGATTGTGAGTGTCTGTGTCTGGAAGCACCTGCCGTCCCATCTCAAATCTCTACTAGGATTCGCAGCATCTGAGACTGAGAAGATCGAGAAGATAAAGATAAAGATGTCTTAATCGTTAATAAATTAGTAGGTTGAAAAACTTCAGTCTCCATTGTGCGGTTTAAACCTGACTGGAAATAGTAAATATCCATGACCCAACCTAAAGCAACATACAAGAAGGTCCATTACGTGATTCACTTCTATTGTCTAGCGAAAGTGATGGATATTGGGATTTTAACATTTAACATATGAAAGGAATCATACTAGTATGTGGAAAACGCTATAGGGTTATGACATGGGAGAAACTTGAGCCTCTTATTTTTATGGGGCCCAGTGTCATAAGGGGGTTTGTGTGGTGGTCAATTCATTCCCATATCATATGATTTCACTTTCCACTTTTAACATATGAAATAAAACTTAACTTTCCAATGTTTCAGACCATCAAAGGCTTGTTATGAAATGGACCTTGTTTAGTTAGAAGAAAATTTGCAAACCCAAAGGGATTGAAGATTGATTTGTCTAAAAGACTTTGGATTCACTCTTGATGCTTCTTCCAATCCAAAAGCCTTTGCCCTTTGGTTTGGTCAGACATTTTGCGAGCTACCACTCACTACCCTCGCTCCCCTGTCCCCTCCCATTTCAGCCACCAGGCCCACCACCACTATTGGGCCTGTAAAAGTTCTTGCCATGGTTTGGCCCTTTTCCGCAGGGGCTCTATGTGCCAAGTCAGAGTTGGCTGCACTATCCACATCTGAGAGTGAGCTCCTATAAGCAAAAATTAAAATTCTGCGCGCAAAGCATCCAGATGCGCATTTGGAATATTTCCCATACATGCATGTTAAATTCAACTCATGAGGAGATAGATGTTCCTAATGTGCAGCTGGCTGGATTCCCATGCTTGCAGAGTGTGTGCAGAGATTTTACTTGTAGGGAACCCTGTCACTCGAGGAGCTTGGTTCCCCCTCCTCGCTGAAGGCAAGTTCAGAACCCCCAGCCCTGAGCCCTGCCCTCGAGCGTTTATGAGCTGACTCATCAATCATCTGTGTCCTCCATCCAGATGAGGTCTGACGTCTGAGCAATCCAGTGTAAGATTAATTGCACTGTAGCCTTCAACCGCTTTACTTTGAAGGCTGGGCTGGACTAGGCTGGCTGGCTGGGTCATTGGATGGGGCCCTAGTGAAAGAAAAGAAAGAAACAAATTGGATAAACCTCAATTCAGCCCAGCCCAACCCAACCCAACCCAACTTGATATCCTTTAAGAGTTATTACATCTAGTTAAAGCTTGTGTTGGGGATTAATGTTGTTAAATTTGGGCTAGATGAAAAATCAAAAAGCTTAATGAATCATAGTTTTATCGGTTTAACAGTCCGACCATTCAGCCTATAAGAAACGTCAAATTACTGGGACATGGATTCCAATTTTTGCATGCAAGGAAACCGTAATTCTGTAAATTAAAGACCAATGTGTCCTGAGCTACAGTCCATCTCATCTCCCACTACCAAGCCTGCCCTATCAAGCCAAAGCAAAAAACTCAGCTGCATCTTTAAGATTGAAAGCAGAGAAACTGTTTCCTGTAATCTACTTAATTAGAACTTATATTGAGATTTTGATTGTTCTGGAGAAAAGGAATTGAATCACATGTCTTGGGAAAGAAAATAACCAAACCCAAGAATTTACCCGTAGATTTTGATTGTTCACAGTGATACATCATCATAAACCACTCAAATGGTTTTGCCTTGTCATAACAGTTTACATAAATCCAAGAAACAAGTGCATCTCTAATGGGGATTCATTTATTAGAATCAACTGCAAACTACAACAACATCTCTGCAATCTGTACTGCGTTAAGAGCAGCTCCCTTGCATACCTGATCACCGCAAACAAAGATATCCAACCTATTTGGGAAATAATTGGCTTTTCAGTATGATGTATTATGAAGATAACATTTTGAAAGAGAAAATTGACAAATCGCAAATGTATCTCACCCATAATTTCCATCTTGAGATAGATCTTGGCGTATCCTGCCAACCGCAACATCATCTTTGTTTGACACCTCCAATGGGGTAGGGAAATGATTAGAAGCTCGATCATCAATAATCACCACACCTGCAGCTCTCTTCAGAATATCCCTTGCAGTGTCCTGGACCAAAAACATCATCATCATCTAAGCCTTATTCCAACTATATGGGGTCAGCTACATGAATCCTGTTTCACCATTCTGCTTTGTTTAGTGCCACATCCATCATTAAATTTTGAGCACTTAAATAATTTCTTACTACTGCAACCCATGTTCTTTTTGGTCTGCCCCTAGCTCATCTTGCCCCATGAAAAAACATAATGTTCAAATTCAGTATAAAACATAGGATGCAACTTGAGGAAAGAGGAGATAGCAACTGCAGTGGGGTGATGCAGGGGCATCCAGCAGCCCATTTCAGAGACCCTGATGAATCACATCTGAAGCATGATAGGGCCCATAGATCTCTCCATACAATTTGATGACATGGCCAAGTTGGAATTCTCGAATACCATCCTTGGGCTCATTGTACAGCTTGAAATGGTTATCCAAATTTGGCTGCCTGTAACTAGTGCTAGGATCTTAATTGATCTTTAAAGGGGCATATTTTGTTTTACTTGTTTAGATCTTTTAGTTCAATTAAATAGACTAGTTTGAGAGTAATCCAGGGCAGCATCGTCTTTCTCTCTCTCTCTCTCGATTGGTAATGACGATCAAAGAAGTCCTATTAATGATGTGATGATTCCTGCATATCATTCTGCTAAAGCTTTTTTTGTAAGGTGGCTGTTTCATTGATTTCTTAGTCATGATCTAATAAAGGCCATTACCCAATGTTCATCCCAGCTATCTGGGGCCTTGGGAGGGATAGACTGGGTACAGTCTTACCCATTGATTAGCTGAAGCTTTTGATTCCACAGCTGTATCTTGGTTTGCCAAGAAAGGGAAAAATGGTAATTTTGAGCAGGGTATCTTCATCTTATTAAACATGGTTGAAATAGGTAATTTGATGTTTTAGAAATTAACTCCATTAGTGAAGTTTGTTGATTCAAAGGTTAGGTCTGGAATGTGTTTCTTAATAAAGTTAGTAAACAAGTCTGCTGGTAAATTAATATCCTGAAAAAGTGTATTCAACAGGCAATTATTGGACCGAGTTTTGTAGTGTTTCTATGTTATGCAGTATTGCTATATATACAATCCACTTTGCGTCAACCTTCTCCTGAATAAATAGTGTCACTTCTGAATTTATTGAAGCTCTTGCTCCTCTTGTTTGATTCAACAAATCATGGTCAGTTTACTAAGGTCAGGTTCACTAATTCACTGTTGCTCTACTTTTTTATCTTGAATTCATGTGGTTCTTTTTTTTTTTTATCAATAACACCAGCTTCATTAAATTAAAAGAAAAGAGGGAATATGGATACAAAAGGGGAGATAAAATATCTTAGCTCCCCAAAAACAGAAAACAAAGGGAA